GTCCCTCCTCATGCCACATCTTCCAGGTCACCCAGGCCACCAGGTCCATCCTGAGCCTTTTCCACCCTTCTCTCTTATTCTGCCTCCCGCCCTTCTCATCTCTACCTGCTACAGCACTCAGCTGGCCTGGAACCCAGCAAGCAGGCTGCCCAGCAAAATGCCCTGGCCAAGAAAACAGCAGGCAATGAGGCCAGTCCGCCACTCCCACCAGTGCCCACACCAAGTCTCAGAAGGCCGCTTGGCCCTGACTTCCCTTCCCTGCCCAGCAAGTTCCGGGGAGAGCAGGGGATGGGTCTCAGGACAGGGCCCTGGTTGCTGCCCTCTCCCCAGCCCCTGGCTCTGGCCTCAGCTCTCCCCACACAGGGTCAGGCTGCAGTTGAGAGGAGAGCCCCCTCAACCGGAAGGCCTCCCCTGGGGCAGCTGCCATGACAACTGCCAGACCACACAAAGTACGAATTGTGGGCTGTGGCCTTCAGCAGGTGGTGAGGTCCGGGGGGCAGGGGACGGTAACAAAGGAGCTTTGGTCTCGCAGAAACTTGGGGGCGGGGAAGGGGGCGGGGCAGCAGCTGGGGTAAGGACAAAGGCCACTGGGCGGGAGAGGCAGTGTGGGGACATGTCCAGGTCTCTCCACACCCTTCCAGTCTCAGGCCCCTGGAACTTTTCCGCCAGCCAAGCACACCTCTCTTCACAAACTCAGGCTCAAGGTCACACAGCTGGTAGGCGCTGGAGCCAGGACCCGTCTGGGGTCGGGCTGCCCCAGCCACAGCCCTTTCCCTGGACCCCACATCACCTCCTAGAGAAGGTACGGGATGTACCAGCCCCTCCTTTCCAGGAGTTGAGTTTCTATGCCCAGGTGTGGTTATTTAAATTTATATGAGTTAAATGAAAAAGTCTGTTGCTCAGTCCCATTGGCCACATTTCAAGTGCTCCACAGGCACATGTGGCCAGAGCTACCGTAATGGTCAACAGAGAGGAACACGTCACATTCGCCAGGTTCTCCCAGGCGGCCCTGCACTAGACTGCAAGTTCCAGGAAGGCAGGGGCCTTGCCCTGCCGCTCCGTGACCTGCAGCAGGTGCTCGGTTTATACTGACTGAAGGAACGAACGCGACAAATGAAGAACTGAAGAGGGGGCTCCTTGGGCCCCGCGCTTCATCACTAACAACAGATACCTCAGGAGGTGATGACAGTCTCTGCCTAGCAAACCGGCTTCAGTTCGTGTCAGCGGAGGTTTCATTTGAAATAGACAACCATAGGCATATGACAAGAAACCGATGTAGACACTAAATCACACCCAGACCCACCCAGGGGCATTCATATCCAACAGCTAACACAGCTAAGTAAACAAAAGTCAAAGATGCGAAAGCACAGAGATACCCATACCCATGAGAACACCGGTGTACGCCAAGTACAAAGAAATTGAGGATTTCACAACCCACAGACACACCTACAGACCCACAGAGGTACAAGTGTGCCGAGGCGAACAGCGGGAGCATAAATGACTACAGAGCGCCCTGGTGGGACAGAAATGTGAATCTACCCTCACACAGCCATGAGCATCCCATCCGGCCCACTGCTCCAAGGAGAAAACTCAGGGAGGCGCGAATGCAAGCGAAGCGTCCACAGTGAGCCAGGAAGCCGCCAGCAGAGATTGGAGGTAGTATGATGGGGACAGTCACCTGCTAGGATACCTGTGCTGGGGCAGGGGGTGGCATGAGGCCAGTGAGGCTGTAGCTGGCTGGGGCGGAAGCTGGAGGGACAGAAAGCCCTAGAAAGAGAATTATGCTCTGCCCAGCAAGCTCAGAGCAGCATGAGACCCTCCTCAGGCCAGGTCTGCTGGGGTCCAGCCCAGGAGGCCCTTCCCTTCTCTCTGTGAACCTGAGTACCCCCAGGGCTGGCTTCTGAGCCCAGTCTCCCCTTGAAAGCAGGGAGCCCCGCGTTCTAGCCCACCTGTCCTTGCCAAGTCACTTAACCCGTAGGCCTGGGTTCCTGATGGTGAAGGTGACTGAAAATACTTGCTCCGCAGGTTGGTTATGAGCCTTAGGTGAGGGGAGTCTGGGGAAAACTATACTTTCTGAACCCTATAAACTGGCAGTGTCTTTTCTCCCCCATTATCATGGCCTGAGAACAACCCGTACCCACATTTTCTAAGTCGGCTCCAAACGCCCCCACTGCTGGCTCACTCTTCCTAAACCATAACTCTTCAAGCTGCTTCAGAACCTTCAGAGGCCCAAGCGCCCACACAGTAACCCCAAACTCTGCTCCCCAATGTGAGCTGGCCTCGCAGGAGGACGGGGGCGTGGACACGGTTTCTATCGTCAGCACGACTGTGTAGCCATGTACTTAGGTAGGGCAGCTCATCGGACCCTGGACAGCCCCCAGCCCTGGGTTAGCCTGGCGGGAGAAGGGGCTCCTCTGGCCTGTCCAAGCCGGGGGTTGGTAGTGGTAAAGAAAGCAGGGCTGGGGGGCGTGAGTGCCAGGCAGGGGGGCTGGACTAGAAGCTTGGAAGCTTCTGCTGGCTGAAAGGTTCAGCTCAGGTGAGCCCCAATGGCCTCATACCCCACCTTTGTT